GAGTTTCTATTGCCTAGTTTATTCTTTACAATTAACAAAAAAAAAATTAGATAGATTTGTGCATTTTTTTCCTCCCTACATGAGATTTTCACTTACGTTCAAGAAGATAATAATATGGTAATTTAGGGACCATTATTAGCCAATTTTTAGCGCATGTTTATAAATTACTTATATAGACTCAAGTAACTTTTTATCCACATATTTCGAGAGACTCATAAGTACTATTCAAATAACGCCCCGAAAAAATTGAGAATAATTCTTTTTTTTTTTTCATTCTATATGCTATTTTTATTTTTTAAAGGGATAATTGCAACAAAAGTTCCAAACTTTTGAAACACTAGCAGATTTTCTCAAACCTTTCAATCGTTATAATCGTCACCCTTAACATTTCCAATCATTATATATGAGGCCATTTTGAACGGTTTCCATCCAAGAAGCCGTCAATTGACCACCAAAATCGAAATTGACCACCTTTTTTTATAATTTCAAAAGAGGTAAAAGTAGCAATCTTATATTCATCACATCAAACAATTAAAATAATTACATTAAAAAACCACAAAAAAATTAAAAGGAAAAAAAGGTAAAAAAAAATGTATCTTCTTCTTCCTCCCACCCCATCTCCAACCCCACCTAAATTTAAGAAAAGTAAGTCTTTGGTAACACTCTAGGGTTTATGAAAATTTGATGTATTACAGTTTGATATCAGAGCAGTGGTCTACCATTTTGTAGATTGTTATTTTAAAAGAAAAATTTATTGTTCAATTGAAGATTGATTGGTATTGTTCAAGTGAACAGTGCTATTACCCAAAAAAAAAAGGAAAAAGTTTATTATTTATTTATTTCAAGGTTAAATCTTTGGTTTAAATTGATTATAAATGATGGTAGTTTAGAATTTAAATTGTTATAGTTCAATACTAATATTTTAGCTTTCACATATCATAAATATTTGTGTTTAGCTCTAGCCTGAGGGCAGTGTTTTAAAATTTACCAATTAACAAATTCACATTTTAAGAGATTTCTTATTTCACTTATTATTGAGTTTTCTTGATTTGCAGATTCGCAAAATTGCAAGATTTTGTCAAAAAAACCTAAACTATCTAAGTAGGGCTTGGAGATTTAAGTGGTCCACTTGTAACCCTCTCCTCATCTAGAAGCTTTTTGATTGCACGGTATTAAATCAACTAATGAAAAACAATATTTTGAACAATTCCAAATTTAAGCAAATTCTATTTTTCGAAACTTTTGTTTTGAGAAAATCATATTTTAGAAAATTTCTAATAAAAATAAAAAATAAAGTATTTTCATATGCATTAGGAGTTTAAAGACAATGTAAAATTTTTAAAGTCTTAAACATGCAATGATATAAAGAATCTTGAACACAGGACGCTTAATATTGACCACTCCTCAATTGAGCTAAAGTATGGAATGAAATGTTATTTTCTTAGCATGATTATGAGTCATCTTGCTTCATATTATGAAATGTATAATCATGTTTATCTCGCATAATTTTCTTTTCTTTTATTTTTTTCCACATTTATACGAATATTGTTTGTGCAAGCATGGATCGAAATAGATTATAACTGAAGATTGAGTATAATTGAAGTTCTACTTGTCACTGATTAGGACTTGACAGACAACTAGGATGATTGGAATAGGCCAACATACCTACATTGTGCTCTAATGACTATCGAGAACTACATGAATTATAAAGTGAAATGGGAGCGAACTTTGTTGAACATCTTGAAGAATTCCTATCCAAGCAAGATCGTTCGGATATAATGAGGGGACAATCCTTTCGACATACCATCTTATATGCACTATGTGACCTCAATGGAGAAACGTAGCCTATTTTGTGAGGGATATGGATTATGGACTACATTTGCAAGAAGATTGGGATAAAATTGATTTTAGGGGACATTGTGAGGATATTATAATCTTATGAAACCATAGACAACAAGAGCTAGAGCCAGAGCTTGAACCAAAGCTAGAGGAGGAGCTTGATGAGGACCTAGAGCCATGGGAGGAGCTTGAATTAGAACCAGAAGAGGAAATCGAACCAATCCGGAGGAGAACCCCAAGCAGGAATTCGAGCCACAAACTTCATCAATTTGGTTGCATATTCTAAGCTTGAGTCATATATTACTTCAGATGAGGAGATTCCAACAAAGAAGATTCCCAAGATTCAAAGAAATTAGAAATAGATGTTATCTACTTATTTAAGAAAAATTTATTTATTTTGGAAACAAAATACTGTATGTAAAGATTTGAGAATTTGAAAGTTTTCACCATTATTATTATTGTTATTATTACTACTTCTTCTTCTTCTTTTGTGTTATCTAATATTTTTAAATTAAAATTTTATTTGTGTTAAGAAAATGTTGAGACAACAACAAAACCAAGCTACAGTCATCAGTGATTTGTTGGGTGTCATCTAAGATCTAGGTAGACAACAAGCACAAGCTAGTGTCCATAATGTAAACACCCGATGTGAGTTCTTTTCACCCTTCCCTCACGGTACTACTTCTCTATCGATCACCCAAGAGCATTTAGCCTTGCAAGGTAGCTCTTGTTGATTCACAAGGGATTCATCGTGTCCCATGCTACTCGGATCAGAATGTGAGCTAGTGATGCTTTTGGCTACTAACAACAACAATTAAATTGTAGAATAGCTCCGTCACTACAAACCCCCAACCTTCGATAGCAAAGCAGACCCATTGGCAACTAAGTAGTGGATAAGAGGAATGAAGCGAACCATCAAACATCTTTCATGCATTGATGCTTAGAAAGTTTTATGTGCAGAATTCATGTTGGTTGATGCAATAGGCCATTGGTCCACGCACTAGAACTGAAGCACAACAATGTGCTCTGGCTTGGACACAATTCAAGGAAAAAGTAATGGAAAAATACTTCCCACAAGCCTTGAGAGATCGAAAGGAGACAGAATTTCTTCAACTTAAATAGAGAAAGATGAAGCTCAAGGAATATGAGAGAAAGTTTAAATAGCTTTATAGTACGCACAACACCTAATGGACATTAAGGCAAAGAAAGCAGGGATGTTTGAACTGGGATTACACCCGGATATTGGTGGGATAATGGCATCTCACCAGTTTACCACCTATAGTTGAGGTTTCGTAAACTGCCCAAGCAATCTCAAATAAATTAGATATTGACCAAGCATTTCATTACAGTGTCGAGTCTTCAAGAAAGCGAAAATGGAATGGATCCAATGAAGAGAAAGGAGATGGACAGAACAACAAAATTAACATTGGATCAAGTTTTGGACAAGCTGTTTCGCCATGTCCAACGTGCAACAAGACATATAAGGTGAATGTTTATTTGTGAGTAATATATGCTACTGATGCAGTCAAACAAGTTACATTGCTAAAAACTGCAAGGAGGTCCAATCAAAGAAAGATAATAAGCAAGAAAAAAAATGAAAGACTAGAGTTTTTTGCTTTAACTCAAGATGGGATAATGCCTTGAAAATTTAGAGATTGATTTATTTTTTTTTTAAAAAAATTCTAAATGCTATTTTTTATATTTTTAAAAATTGAAGGATAAAAGTAAAATATGTTTTAAATTCTTTTATTTTCTTAGGCCAAATATTAGATTTTGATCGAGCGAGTTTAAGTTCATCAACATTTGGACTCTTTTTTGTAACTTGTAATTAATTAAAAATCTTCGACTCAAGAAAATGTTATTTCGAATAGATTAAGTCCAAGACATTGAAGTTCAAGGAATTTATCATTAGTTGGTAATTAGTTTAGTTGATTTAGGATTTAAGAATTATTTAGCAACGTGTAATATAGATATGTATCCTTTTTTTTTATTATTGGTTTAATATTAATCATACTACCATTATTTGAGACTAAATCTTCTACTGCAACTCTCTTATCAAATTAATTTAGTGGTGCAAAGCTCTTCCATTGTTACTGCACCAAACAGGGGCTTAGAAGTTTAGTTTAGTTTAAGTGTGATTTATTATTATTATTTTTTTTTCAAACCTTATTATTAGGCTAAATTTTGGTGATTAAATACTAATGTAATTACACTTTAAAGGTTTGGGGCTATCACTAAATTTTTTGTATCAATTCAACCAGTATGCACGAAAGCTGATAATCCCACTTTCAATAGAAAACTCATTTTATCCAATTTTTATCAGATTGTGGTGGTACACGGCTTCTTTATTATTATTTCACTAAAATTCAATTGCAAATATTTTCACCATAGATACCCCATGAAATCAAGAAAAATTTTCACCACAGATTATTTACACATAGACACGATCAGAGAGAGAAAGAAACATAGGAAAATGGTTTTCACGTGCATCATTTTACGGTCCTTCACAATTTTTCAAATCTATCAAGGTAAGATACTTTTGTGCAAATGATTTGTTTCCATATATTTTTATATTTAATAATTTATACATTAATTACCGGTAGGTCTAACGAAATGTGAACTCTATTGAATTCTTTATACTGAAATGTGAAATCCTTCGAGAATTCAAAATCACTTGGCTATCGATATACTCCATAAAAGTGTGGTATGAATTGTTTATTTTATGATTATATAATTGTCTATAAAAATTGTACGTATCTTATTGGGTATTTTTAAATACTCACTCTTATAATAATTTTACGAGTTAGTTCAGATGGATTGTATTTGTGGCAGGATGGTGTTGTGGTCTGCCAAGTGGATTGGAAGAAATAAAATTATTAGGTTTTCTATCTTTAATTGATTAATTAGTTTAATTTATGTTCAATGACTTGTTTATTTAAATAGTAGTTGGATATGTTTATTTCCAAAAATACAATTTTAAATGGCAGTTTAAATTCGTTGATATCCAATATTTTATTAAATAAATAAATTTTTATTGTTCCGCATTTAACGTAAAGAAAAGTCTTTGGTAAACACTCTAGGGTTTATGAAAATTTTATGTTACAATTCACTTTTTGACCACTCATTTCTATCTATTTATAATTTAAACCGTTTATAAACACTTCTCAAAAACCAGTGACTGATTCACATTCTTTGTTTATAGAGAAAAAAAATGAGATAAAATGAATTACAATGGAGGCTAGAAATAGTTCATCTACTCAAGGTGATTGGCATGGATTTGAACATCATAATATCATATCTGCCTATGCCACCCAGAAAAACAGAAGTTACAAAAAGATTTACGGATTAGTTAAAACCTGGTCAGAAGAATTACAGTGCACCAATCGTTTCTCGTGATCTACCAGCCAATTACTCAGCTAATGTCCTTTTGTCAAGGTAATCTGGAATGGGGAAGGCAATATTTTCGTCTCTCTTGCTTTTTCTGTAAAATTTATAAGTAAAACATTTACCATTTACAATCAAATCTTTCAACTGTCAAGAAATATGGCAAGTTATTTGATTATGGACATTGTCTCGCCCGGGTATGCCCGGTGTATTTGTACATGGTACATTTTTGATCTATATATTTACATTTACCGATCAAAAAAAATATGGCAAGTTTCTAAACATAACCCATGTCATTGTCAAGGCGAAAATTGTTAAATTTTAAGTTTTCAGAAATGGCCTTCGCCACATATCATCAGTCATTGTCCTCATCCCTATTCTCACCCCATACGCCCTGCATCCCAAGTCCCTCCCATTTCCCACTTCTAACCCCTTCCCTCTCCAACTTTCTCCCTACTATGAGCAGTTGAGACTATTGAACTAACAGGTCGAAACTCAAGAGGAGCTTGGGAGACTCAAGAGAACTGTCCTAGCCCTCAAGTAGGGAGAATGAGGGAGGGGATGGAAAGAAGGGGCAGGGGGATACATGGGAAGGGGGAGGGAAAGAGAGGATGCATGGGGAAGGGGAGATTGGATACAAATACAAGGGAGGAAGGAGAGGCATGGATTGCCAGGTGGGGATTGGGCGACGATGAAGATACATGAGATGTTTTGAGAATATCATGAAGCCATTGCACATAAAATTATTTAGTAGAGTTAATTTTTCATATTTATCCCTCCCCCTAGATCCTCCCCAAACAAATTCCAGAGGAAATACAGACATGGACTCTGGATATTAACATAATCTTCTTATGAAGTTCTAAGTAGGATATATCATGTTGGAAACCCACTAAGAAACAGATGAAAATTTATGCATATCCATGTGTCTATTATATCGTGTCTGTAAGTTTTCCTCCAATTTTCTTGAAAGGTACGTATTTTTATAGATAAATGGTGCTGAATTTAAATTTAGTGTTATCAGGCTGTTCAATTACAATGTGATTTTGCACATGAACATGATATTCTTTTATCATATTTGATGTGTTAACTTTCATTCTCTATAATATTGTTCAGCATTGATTATGTACTTGAGTCTTAGACCAGCATTTCTGGAGTCACAGCTGACATGTGTCCAAAATTTTGTTTTTTCCATTTTTGGAAATGACCAAAAGAGTGGTAGTCACATCAGAGAGCGTGCAATACACATCTGATATGACACATAGTTTTCTTGAGTGTCCACACGTCTTAGTTTGCTATATAAATATTCCACAGTACATCAAAAATCAAATTTTCTAGTTACATTTTGGATATAAATCTGGATTTGTCTTCTCATCTTGGCTAGCCTAATTTAGATGATTTTAGTACATCGTATCTCAATTCATGAGCAAACAAAGAAATAAAAAATATTTAAGGTCAAAAAGCATTGAAGCCATAAGGAAAGTCTTCAAGCCATTAATAATGCCCTCATTTCTAAACTATATTTCCTGCTTTGCTGAGTTCCCCTTGATATTACTAATTCATTATGATTCTAGAGGATACTAAGTCTAAAAAAGAATGGATCAGCTCTGTTATAAGATAAATTGTTATAAAAAATAAATGAGAAACAATGAATGGCAATTGCAAGCATACCGGGGTTCCTTTTGTCTGGTAAGATAAACAAAAGCTCCAAAACCCAAAATGATCACAATTTTTATTACCTGAGAAGAGAAAAACTACAAAATGTTAACCGCTGCAATCTTCTTCGAGAAAACTGATACCATTTTGCTCTTTCTAGATCCACTAGGAAACTAATGCCGCAAGGAAACTGGCACATCTTGAAATTTATGCATAACTCGTGTCGTCAAGAGAGTCTAGTATTCTTTTAGCTCTAAATACAATTCACATGAGACGTATACATGATTCTGTGGCCCATAGATAGCCAAAGTGCCCATAATGCTCCATAGTGAATATTAGCATGTCTTAGTTTTCAAATAATTTGGGTTTCATTTCTATTTTCAACTGACTTTGAGGTAGGCTTATAATTTAGTGTTAGCAAATATGTGCATCAAATCAAGAAACTTTCACTTGATAACTTCTAGAAGTGGAAAATATTTAGTCAAGTATATTTCATCCTTACTCATAAGGTAGGTACATTATGTGCAAGGATTGTAGGTTATTTATGAAAAGAGTTTATCTGCACAACATAGTTAAGGGCAATTCACTCTTACAGTTGACGGTTCTTCCTATTTTGATAAGCCAGCAGCTTAGAGACACTCATTCGATCCATACCATTTCTGATTAGTCAATTCTTCTTGGAAAGATTAAAAGAGAAAAACACTTATCTAGGTTTCCATATGACAGTTAAGCTTAAAAACATAAAAACTTGATAACAATGAAGTGGTTTGTTGCACAACCTAACTATTGTAAGAGTATAGATGTAGACGCCCATGTAATGAGGAACAAGGGGTGGTGGAACGAGGAAGTTATATAGCAGTTAAGCTTAAAAAACAATGTTGCAGAAACTTTCAAATATAGAAAAGTGAAACTGGATGAAGGGTAAGTTATTATTAAGAAGGCATCTGGGTAAAGAGGAGAGAATTAAAGACTGAAACCAGGTTAAATGTATCAAATCAAACCAGAGTTTTTATGCCATTGTTATGGAATTCAAAGTATGGAGAAATTATTTTGACAAAATATTCAATAAAATCCGTAGTACGATCTTAGATAGAAATGTTAACCAAAAATTCATAGACGATGAATAAGTAAGCTGGAAAAAAGCAAGATTTGCAGGGAATTTTACTTAGAAAAAATTAAGGGAAAATTGCAGCAAAAGCCCCAAACCTTTGAAATATTAGCAAACTTTCCCCAAACCTTTGATTTGTTGCAACCGTCACTCCTAACCTTTAATTTGTTGCAGCCTTCACTCCTAACATTTTCAAACGTTGCAGGTGAAGTCCTTTTGGACGGTTTTCATCCACAATTTCGTCAATTGACCAAAAATTTAACTTTGACAACATTTTAATAATTTAAAAGGGGTAAAAGAGTAATTTCCATTTATTACATTAAATAATATAATAATTAAAAAATAAGAAATAAAAAACACAACCCCATCTCACCTCAATCAAGAGTCCTGGGCTAAAAACAATGTTCAACGTGACTCCAAAAATTTCCCAACCAATTTCTTTCAACTCCATCCCAAAACCCCCAAATCCTTGAGAACCAGTCGACCACGACTAGCTGAAAAATCATCTTCTTGCTGTGTTATTAATCTTTCTGCTATACCAGCTAAGAAATCATCGTCCTCCCCAACTAAGTTGAAAAGAGCAGTTATTACCACTTCTTCAACTGTGTAATTAATTTTATTGTTGGCATTGATAATAATTTTTGTACATCTAAATGCGGTGAAATTCGAGGTTTTGGAGGAATGGGAATTGGATTGTCAATCTTATTTGAAATGAACCCAGATGCGAGGAGGTTGCAAAGAAGAATATTTTGCCTAAGTTCTCGATTTTGTGTGCAATCAATATGAATTCACCATTGTCGACTTTTGAAATTGCTCATTTGGGGATTTTCTTTAGTTTCTTTGCTGTCATTGTTGAGTCTCAATAGAATGTGAATCCTTCACCGCGAATTATGCCTCCTCCTCCATCGCCATTGAATCCGCCCCCTCCATTCGTTTAGCCCCCTCCACCGCAGCCATGGAATTTGGGTTTGAGTTGGGGGTGGGGGTGAGAGGAAGAAGACAGGGTTTTTTTTTAATTTTTAATTTTAATTATTATTTAATGTGATAAATGAAAATTTACTCTTTTACCCCATTTCAAATATTAAAAATATGGTCAAAGTTAAATATTTGGTCAACTAACGGAATTGTAGATGGAAACCGTCAAAAGGGCTTCACTTGAACGTTTGAAAATGTTAGGGGTAAAGGCTGCAATAAATCAAAAGTTAGGGGCGACGGCTGCAACAAATCAAAGGTTTGGAAAAAGTCTGCTAGCGCTTCAAAGGTTTGGGGCTTCTGCTGCAATTTTCCCTAAAATTAATAATAAGATACATAAATGCTTTGGTGAGTGCTAGGGGGAAAAAATTGATATCAGGCATATCATTGATAATATTAAGAATATGTTCATCAGAGCAATCATGCGAATGAGATTTGTCGTGTCAGGATACTTGTAGAGAGTTCTCCATTATTCTGGTATTGCAACAAGATTTTGCCTTGCCTTTTTTGCTTTAGTTCGACAAGTTTATAAGACACATGAGACGGCATCCATTCGTTTTTCATCCATTTATGACAAAGAAAGGAGTAACTGGTGAGGATGAACTTCATATAAGATATTATCTGGAAAAAATAGAGAAGTCATAAAAGAATCTATGTGGTTGGAAGTTATCTACACAAATAAAAAGAAAGCTCCATAGAATGGTTATTAGATCTACTACATAATGGTATTGTATCTTGGGATATTAAACGAAAAATCCGTATAAAATAATGCAGCAAAATGAGTATGTTAAGATGGATGTATCCTGATAGAAAAAATAAGAACCGAAAAGATATACCAACAAGAGGAGAGGATACTTACACGGGAAAATAAGGGAATGGAAACTTATATGGTTGGGATTGTTTTGCATTGACTTTAATATTTTCATATTTCGGAAAGTGATATGATATTAGTAGAAAAACTTAGATGATAGAGTGGTAGACAAAATAAACATGGTTGCAAAAAGAAAATTTTCATTTGACTTTTAGTAGACGAGGCACCAGATGAAATGAAATTGGAAAAAGGATTATATAGCTGATCACAAGTTCATTGGCAATACGAATTAACTTCTTTACTTTGTTGCTATTGTCCTTTCATTTCTCTGTCCTCATCCATGAAGATCTAAGCATACTGTTCAATTTGTTTCTTATATTTTCCACAATTTGCTCCTAGCTTTTTCCATTTAGGTTTAAGTTTCTTCTTCAATATAACCCTCTTCCTCTCCCACAACCTCTCTAGCTTCTATAAAAAATAAGATTAGTGCAGAAAAGTAAGTCAACCACAATTCAAGCATGCAATTTTAATAGACCAGAATTAGTAAAAGAGATACTGACGGTATCATTAAGGATCACAAATATTTGCTATTACCTGTCCAACTAGTCCACTAGATGCATCATCTGGAGAGCTCTCAGGTCCAGATTCTTGCTGATTGCAAAAATTTCTCTCCCTCATTTTAGTCTCAGGTTCATTTCTGAACGGCACATTACACTGATATCATCAAATCAAATCAGATATGTCAGTAACCTAACCCAAAAGTTTCCACTTGCATCCAGTATATATCTCAAGCAATACTTATACTCTTTTAGAATTGCCTAGAGGCGTCTAACAGGTTACAAAAGAAGCAACCACTAAGTTCATGAAGATAATAGTTACCATAAGCCAAAATAACTTTGTACATATTAAATTGAAAGCTTTTACACGATGGAATTAGAACTCTCTTCTTGAAACTAAATAGAACCTGACTTGAACTATCACAGAAATTATACCTTCTCTGCCATTTGTGATTTCGAAGAATATTTCTTCTCTTGGCGAGTTCTGGCTTCAATATGGCGACGTTCTAGTATTTTCATTGCCTTCTTACCTGCAGTCGTGATACATAAGCGTTGTGTGTTATCTGGGAATATCCATATACCAGATCTTTCAGAGGAATGATATTCCTTTTCATAATATTCTACTGATTTTGTTTTCTGGTTGGAAGCCAATTGATTATAAAGTTTAATTGAACTCTCCAATCCAGTTCTTGTATCTACTCCCTCTACAGCTGAAGAATTGGAAGAACACAGCAGCACATCAGAGGAATTATAAGCTTGAACAACTCGCAATTGGTCCTCGTTCATTCTTCCAGAACTTGTTGCTGTTCCCAAAGTGGATGGCCTCATAAATTCAACAGGCATTTTTTTACTTTCTTTCACAGTTAGTTCTCCTTGAGCGGCTGTAGATATATCCTCAACCTTTGAATCTTTTCTTTTAGACAAAAAAATTGTTGTACTTGACTCCAAATTCTGAGCAGAGTGAGATGGTTCAGTGACACCCAAAACAATATCTGCTCCTTTACCGATATTAGCTGGGATCTGATGAATAATCCAAGTAATACAATGATCCTTTAAGAAGAGATTATTATTGAACCACTTGATATAAAAACTTAAGTTATTAGAGAGTATCATATGTATATTATTTTAATATTGTCTTCAACACGTCCTCTCACATGCAAGGCGGTTCAATTTTTTCCCCATTAAAGCCTAACACGTGGTCAATTCATTTAAATGGGCTGCGTTGAGAATTGGATACCATGTTGGACATCTTGATCTAACCGTTCAAACTGTTAGAGGGAATCACATTTATATTATTTATATTGTCTTCAACAGTATTATACCACTATAAACTATCACAAGGAAGTACCTGGACTAGATTACTTTCGAAGGCACTAATCATTTTTCTCACATTGCTAGGGGTTTTTCCCAGGGGACATTGATGCTCCGATTTATGAATAGGATCATCTTGCATCTTTGAGGTTGCTGAAGTACTCGTTTCAGGGATCTGTGATTCGCTTTCCAGCATGGATGAAACTTCTTGATCAACAAATGGTATTGAAGGAATAGGAGCAAGTGGCAAGTGGGTTTCAAGTTCCACTACTGGTCCCCTTTGATCTACTTGAGGAAATTTTGATTTGACTCCATGTCTAACTGAAGAAGATGAAGCACCTTCATGAGGATCTGCAGCATTCTAAAACATGGAGCCTTAACTGTTAGGCCAAACCAAGCAGCTTGTTTAGACTTTTCTGTATAAACAACAATTGATTATCAAACAACTGATTAATCCTTAACTGGGATTGGACTCTCAAGGGTGCTTCCTTCTGTACTCAGGTAATCAGATTGAGGGTGAACTGAGGAAGTAGAAGGTTTCGCCAATGAACCACCTTGTGGGGCTACAACTTCATGACTGATTACTTCTATGTTAATAGATCTTGATCGGGAATCTTGAAATATTCAGAGTCGTACAATCAAGGAAAAATCCTTCAGCAAAGATGGTATTTATAAACATTGATCACTGGTGTCATTATTCTTTATTCAATCTCCTCTTCTTTTAGAAATTTGTGAGTTCAATTGCTTACACAAAGATAACATTGATGGTATTCTTTCAAAGTCATACAATCAAGGAAATTCCTTCAAGAAAAATATTTTTATATAAAACATTGATCACTGGTGTCATTATTCTTTCTTAAATTTTCTTTTCTTTTAGAAATTTGTGAGTTCAATTGTTTGGACAAAATAACAACTAACCTGAGACCTCTGGCATATTGGGTATGGATATCTCAACAGGATCACTGGTGGAACCAGTGACTTCTGAATGTCCGATGTTAATGCTGGGATTCACATCTTGTTTCTTCTTCAATACAGATTCTCTCTACATAAAAGAGAACAAAAGTACAATTTTGATACCACCAGAAGAAAAATTCAACAGAAACGGAGTAGAAAACAAATGTTTTCAAAACTGAGATGCAGAAAGTTCAACGATTCTCACAAACTATGGCTTTATTCTGGTATGTATTTTTGCAAGGACAATTTTCTATAACATAACATGACTCACTGTTGATGTAAAGGCATTCTTCAGGACTCCATAGACTTCCTCAAAAACAATTAAATACATTTTCTTACGTGTAAGAAGTATTTTACATACATAACTTGTATCTCACATTCATCTGCACAAGAATCAAGGGCAAGTACTAAATGTCGATTACATTTTTCATTATAGGGGTTCCATATGATATTGGTTATGCTTCTTTGATTAGCTCAGGAAATTATGAACTGGAGGATTTGATTTGATTTTTGTCTGTGTGTCTAAAAGAGATATCCTTAGGGTGTGTTTGATGAAAAATGTCAATTAAGGGCCTGTTTGATTAGGTCATTTTTCCATGGAATATTTCATTTTCCACAATTTTTCTTGTTTGATTGCAAAAATTTTCTTGGCAATTCATTCCCCCCCCCCCCCCCCCTCCTCCTCCACGTCACTATTTTCTCTAATTTTGTGGAAAATCAATTTCCATGGATTTGGCTAGAATTGGTTTTTCCAGCTTTTTGTTTTTTTTTTTTTTTTTTTTTTGGGAATGGGAAAAAATTT